AGCACACGCCACAATCGATGTTGTTTACGCGCATTTTGGAATCGAATAATCAGCAAAAAAATGCTGATGTGAATTGGCCAACAAGAAGCTGCGATTTGACGCCATGGATTATTATCTTGGGAAGCAGTGAAAGATATATGTTACGCCAACAATCCAGAAACAATTCAAGACCTCAAGACCGAAATTCAAGCTGCTATTGCTGAGATAATGCCCGAAACAATCGAAAATGTACTCAAAAATTGGGTGGATCGAATGGGCTACTGCCAAGTCAGCCGTGGTGGTCATTTGACCGAAATTATTTTCCATAAATAAATATCATGAATCAACATATTAAATAAATGTTCAACCATTGAAAAATATTGAGCCGTTTTCATTTTGTAACAAAATTAAATTCCAATTTTTAAATGGGCCACCCTTTATGTTCATTGTTATCCATATTGTAAAATGATTGTATTTTTAAGGCCTCTTGGAAGAAATGTGTGGGCTATATATTTAAAATTTAAACGGCAAATCAAATAAAAATAATTTGAAATAAAACAATTTGTGGGAGTGCATTTATGTACATACTGTTACGAATGTCGGGGAGAGTAACCAATATGAGAACCATCTCTGAGGAGGAGTGTGTCCGAAGACCCGCGAGTAGTCGTGGCATGGGGTGAGTGTTGACTATTGGCATCAGAGAGAGCAAAACGTGCGGTCTAGCGCACGAAAGTGTTAATAAAAGATGTGTTTAATTGAGCCTAGAGAATGTCATGCGGGGGGGCGCGCGCGTGTCGGAAGATGTCCCCAAACCTAAAGAATGCGTAATTAGAATATGTGGCTAGTTTGTGAAGTGGATCGGGCCCGATGTATGGACAATTACCTTCGAGACTATTGATTTACATAAAAAGCATATATAATGGTAGAAAAAGTTAAACTACGTGGTATCACTCTTACTTGTAAACATACAGATAATATAATTCAATTGAAAGATGATAAAATATTTGTAATTAATAATATATTAAATATACAAGACAAATACATTACCGGAGAAATAATTGGTATAGTGGAAAGTAAAAGTAGAGAAGTATTCGATTATCCAATATCATCAATTGATGTAGGTTTAACAGAATTTACTTCTTGGAAAAAATAAAATATTGTTAAATCTCATTCATGTGAAATGTAAATGTATATTATGAACATTAATAATTCACTGTTTGCAATAGCTTCATTAAATTTATTTAAACATGTATTAAAAAGTAGATAATAAAATAATTTTGACGCAATAAATACTTCGAAATTCAATATTATTTAAAATTGTATGTTTTTATTTAAATTATTATTATTATCCAATCAATTAATGTTCAATAATATATGAATTTCTAATCTCAAAAAAAATGCAATGGTGTATAAATATGTACCAGTGGCAAAATAATTTTAAGAATCGAAGACTCGTGCTCACGGTTTGTGCAATGCTTTGAGACGCCGCTACGGGCGGCAGTTAGACCGGCATCCGAAGAAAGTGTGATATTGCTCCTTGCGCGCAGTCAATTATCTGAGTTTTAGAGCTTAAGTGATTATTTTTAACTTCCCGTAGGGTAAGTTATAGTAATCGTCCAAAAATCGAAATCAAAAATTTTACATTTCTCGACGTTTTGAAGGTTTCTGAACATTTTGGCATACTCAGAAAAATTGGATGTGTGTGTGTGTGGTTGTGTGTGTTTGCATGTCCGCCTTTTTTTCGTCCACGTTTTCGGGCGCACGGATCAACCGATTTGAATGGTTTAAAAAGCATTCGATTCCTATTGATAGGGAGATGTGCTGATTAGTTTTTGGCAAAGACAGGTCAGCCGTTACGGAGATATGGAGCAAGAGTGCAAATAATAGAAGCGAGTTTTAGAGACGAGTTTTTGAGAGAACGGATCAACCGATTTGAATGGTTTGAAAAACATTCGATCCTATTGATAGGGAGATGTGCTGATTAGTTTTGGCAAAGGTAGGCCAGAGGTTTCGGAGATACAGAGCTAAATTAAAAAAAATTGCAGTTTTTGAGAGAACTAAGCGTCCGATTTAAATGATTCAAAGAACTTTCTGCTTGTTTCAACAAATAATGATTTAGGAAAAAAAAAAATTTTTTTCTAATTTTTTTTCAAAAATTTTTTTTGAATTTGGACTAAAAATTCAAAAAATCACCCAGGCTAAGCACAGTCTAAGCGCCACTATGGTACAAATGTTTACGCAAGTGCGTTTAGACTGTTTATGTACTGGAGCACTTTTCAAATTTTGTGAAAATTATTGAAAAATGTGAAATGCCGCCAAGCTAAGCACAGTATAAGTGAAAATGTCGCACAGAATTATTTGCAAATGCGTTTAGACTGTGACTATGCGGAGCACACTTTTCAATTTTGTGTAAATTTCGGAGATCTGTAAAAAAAAACTAAAAAAAAAATAACATTTGGCGGTCAACAATAATCATTAGACATTAGACATATGCATATCAAATTATCATATATTTTATAAAGATTTTAACAATAAGTATAAAATTTGATAACATTCCTATGGGTTCCGTACCAGTGTTTATCCGTTAGACGACGACGCGGCGCTTACGCGCTTCGATATTTAGTCTCTATGCATTAAAGCAGTACGATTGCTTTGAAAAAAAGTTCAGAATTTCCAAAATATTTCAAAAAAATTTTTCAACAAAAAGTAAGTTTCTGTCAAAAATTTATAGTTTCTCAAAAATCAATTTTATCAGAGTAAAATTTTTTCAAAAATGTTAATCTTTTTAAAAAAATAATTTCTGGTACGGGAAGTTCCAGCAATTGCCTTAAGGCACGATGCCATGCGCCCCACTAGTTTATTATTAGTTTATTGGGTTATTGTACTAAAATTTTGAAAATGACGGAAGATATTAAAATGTATGCAGTGGTGGAATTTAATGAAACTAAAAACAATAAAAACGGTAGAGTTAATACCAATTAGTGGGCTTAATAAGGATAGATCCAAGTGTTTATGGCTGCCCAAAAAAGATCAGAACAGGTGTTGAAGTGGGCGAAACTTGATGTAGTACCTGACGAGGAGACATGGATAAAATATCCAATCAAAATTATTATCAAAGCTAGTGAGTTTTATGTGCATCAAATAATATAATTATCTCTCTCGAGGTATTATACAGTATTATCTCTCAAATGATATACAGACCACTGAAAATGAATCAAACATTGATAAAGATAGTGAGCCTGTTTTATTAAATTCTAAAAATGTCTCTTGCTTATTATCGCAAAAACGGCCTTTGAACAACAACAATAATAGAGACTATAATGCAAACGATGATTTAAATAACTCAGAACTCTCTGAAAGTGAAGAAATACCCCCGCGGAGAATTTAGATATTGAAATTAGTGCAAAAAAGCTGCATTTGATAGTACAACGGCACAACCCAAAGGTTGTTCTTATTTTTTACAGTATTACATATTCTTATTTTTACAGCAGATATCATATGATTCAATGGAATGATTTCAGTAGATATCAATGGAAAAATGATTCAAGCTTCTGAAATTACGTGTACGTAAATTCAAACAGTTCTCGAGAGATTTATGAGCCTTCAGAGAATAGCGACTAGAGTTATATAGACTGTAGCTCACAGTCTCCTGTAAAAAAAGGTGAAATTGTAAAAGTCACAAATTATTTAATTGATGACAATTTGAAGGCCTATACTGAAGTCCTCCAAAATTTAACGTAAGGGGGCGTCCATTAATCACGTGAGGTTTTTAGGGGAAGAGGGTTTGACAAAAAATCACGAAATATCACGTGGGGGAGGGGGGTATGGTAAGATATCACGTGTATTTATTTTTTAACTGATTATTTTAAAAAAATTCAAACATTTCCAAAAAAAAAAATCAAAAATTTTTGTTTTTTCACGTAACTAAAAACACGTGATGTTTGGTGGGGAAGGGGGGGGTAATTTTGAATATCACCACGTATCACCAAGGGGGAGGGGGGGTCCAAAAATCCTTAAAAACTAGCTCACGTGATTAATAGACGCCCCTAATGTTGGAACGTCTCAGTGTTATTTCTAATACCAATATGACTAATATAAAATTATTTTTAATGAAAATTCGACGCCAAGACAGTTTTGAAAGATTAAGTGAACAGTTCGGAATGAGTGTAAGCAACGCTAGCATTATTTTTAATAAAGCAATTCCGGTATTGACACTTTTTTTAAAAAGCTTGTTTACATGCCTGAGCTTGATAATATAAAAAGAATACTACCGATAGCATTTAGATCTTCGTATAGTCATGTGGTAGCTACAGGCGGTCCTCGACTTACGTCGTTTCAATTTACGTCGTTTCAAGTTACGTCAAACAATGTTTTGACACTATTCCTCAAGCATACGTCATTAGTTTCGATTTCCGGCATATCGGAGAATTCACTTGTCGCAAGGTCAATGTCCGTGAGGGGCGCGGGCGGAGCGCGGTGTCGTCTCGTGCGGGGAATACCCCGCAAATGTCGCTGATTTTGTTTAGTACATTCAGGGACAACGGACAATCAAGACGTAATAAATTAGTTTTTTTGCATCTTTGACAGTTTTTGTGTTTACATACATATTTAGGTGAATTTTAAACAATGCCACCTAAACAAGACAGTAATAATAAAGTGAACAAGAGAGTAAGAAAGTCAATTACAATGGAGGTTAAATCTAAGATTTTAAAACTCAAAGATCGCGGTTATTCGACTTCATCTATTGGACGAGAACTTAATTTATCACGCACTACGGTACAAACAATAATGAAAGATAAAGAAAAACTCTTAACAGCTCTTCCTTCCGTCTCTTCAAACAGCACTATTATACGCAAAAGGAATGCTTTAATTTATGAAATGGAAAAACTGTTGTACAGTTGGATTCAAGATCAAACCCAGCGACGGGTTCCTCTAAGTTTGGCTATTATACAAAATAAGGCGCTGAGTATCATCAACACACTGCAAAATAAACGTGGCGAGAATAATAGTGACGAAACAAAATGTTTTTCTGCCAGTCGCGGATGGTTCATGCGCTTTAAAACGAGATATTCGTTACATAACATTCGAGAAGCTGCTAGTGCCGATCATGTGGCTGCTCAGAGTTTTTCTGGAATATTAAAGGAAATTATCGAAAGTGGAGACTATTCGCCTAAACAAATTTTTAACGTGGACGAAACTGGTTTGTTTTGGAAAAAAATGCCCTCTCGTACTTTTATATCACAGGAAGAAAAGTCTATGCCTGGATTTAAAGCGGCTAAAGATCGTTTGACGTTGTTATTGGGTTCGAATGTTGAGGGTGATCTTAAATTGAAACCCCTTTTAGTTTATAGGTCTGAAAATCCTCGAGCTCTCAAAAATTACGTCAAGAGTACTCTTCCAGTTATATGGAAGGCTAATCCAAAGGCATGGGTTACATCAATAGTTTTTGAAGAATGGTTTACTAAGCATTTTATACCTGAAGTGAAACAGTACTGTTCAAACAATAATTTGGCTTATAAAGCTTTACTTATTTTGGACAATGCTCCCGGCCATCCTGTGCGTATTGCCGATATTCATCCTCAAATCAAAGTCGTGTTCCTGCCTCCCAACACCACTTCGTTGTTACAGCCGATGGATCAAGGAGTTATCGCGTCTTTTAAGGCCTATTATCTCAGGAGAACTTTTTCACAGGCTGTAAAGGCTAATGAAAATGATGGCATGGAGCTGAGAGATTTTTGGTTATAAGTTATAATATCCTGCAATGCGTAAAAAATATTGCTACTTCGTGGGATGAGGTGACACCTAACAATTTAAAAGGAGTGTGGAAAAAGTTACGCCCATTTTTTTTGAGCCATTTGAAAGTTCAACATCTACAGATCAACCAAATGTCGATGAGATCACAACTGACATTGTTCATTTGGCTAACCGTTTCCCTGACATTGCAGTTACTACTGATGATATTGATGATCTGTTAAGCTCACATTCGCAAGAACTGACTGATGAAGATCTTATTGAATTGGAGGCACAAGTACAAAAGGAAGCACTCGAGTCACAAGAAATAGCTTCTTCTATTAGTGACTCTGAAAAAGAACTTACACTAAAAAAACTTTCCGTAGCCTTTGCAAATTTGAAGAATGCCATGAAAATTTTTGAAGAAAATGATCCTAATTTTGAAAGAAGTTTTAACGTTAATAACAAAATTTGTGCAGCCTATCACTGTTACCAAGATCTGTATGATAGCAAGAAGAAAGAAGCCAAACAATCTAGAATTGATAGTTTCTTTAAGCCAAAAGTTTAATTTATTATTTATCATTACATATGTATAAGTTTTATAATTATTATTAAAATTAATAACACACAAATACCAAAAATAACTAGCTATTTCATAAGTGCATAATATATAATTATTTTAAGAACTTACTTTTAATAATAAAGTACGTCCTTTGTTATAAATGCAGTTTTTTTTATTATTTCGAGTCCGTGTGGAACCTAACCCTTGAGTTTTACATGTAAACATATGAAAAAATATGTCTCGACTTACGTCGTTTCGATTTACGTCGCGTATTTCGAGAACCTAACATGCCGTAAGTACGAGGACTGCCTGTATTATTGATGCATTTGAGATTCAAATCGAGCAACCTAGTGATCCAGAGCATCAATCATTAACTTGGTCAGAGTACAAAAAGTGTAATACATTAAAATATTTAATATCTTGCACACCGGATGGCTTTATCAATTTCATCTCAAAAGGATTTATAGGGCGAATTTCAGATGAATTGTTATTTCAGGAAAGCGAAATAGTAGAAGAGTTACTCGAAGGTTGTGCTGTAATGGCTGATCGAGGATTCAAGAATATTGTTCAGCTTCTTGACAATAAAAATATTGAATTAATTCGACCACCTTCAGTGTTTTACAAGGCAAACGAATCGCTGCTAGACGTATTCATATAGAACGCGTGATTGGACGAATGAGAGAGTTTGATTTTCTCAAACCTCATACGGTTGTTAATCATAATATGTTACCTTTAACAGACTATATTGTTATCATCGCAGCAGCACTAGTGAATTTACAAACACCTATAATTTCAAGTTAAATTTAAGAACATTTTCATGACAAAAGAAATGGCTAAATGGCTACCATAAATATATCAATATTAGGAACATTATCAGAATTTGCTTCTATAAATCCTGTATCACACATAGTTGAACTAAATTAACTTCAACAAATCGTTTTTAAAGGAAAATTTAACACGTGTTTATCAAGTTCCGTAAAATATAGCCGTAAGCACTGCGCCAATAGAGTAACGGCACTGCGCTGTTATGAGGTTGCAATTACAATCTGACGTCACAGGCACGGTAGCCAATCGTGGCACGTTAACGGTCACATGACTAATTTTTGAATTTAATCAATTTTTAAACGCTCATAACTAATTGAAAAAAACTTTTTTCTCTTTTTTCTTTCACATATCAATAAATTTAATAATGTAGTTGTAAAGCGCATAAAAATAAATGAATAATTTTTTTTTCAAATTCCCATTTGTGAGAAATAACATAATCACGATTACTTATTGTACAATTTCTAGATATCCAGAACTATGGCCAATTGGCGCTATTTTTACAAAACACAATTTGTCTCGAAATGACAAATTTAAAAAAAAATAATCTTGAATTATACCTTGCTGTACATAATTTAACAGCAGCTATCATCACCGCAACACCAGTAATATGAAATATGTGCTATGCGTATTTTTTTGATAAATATGGAGCAACTGAAAAACACCATTCTTGTTTTGCACATACTATTAATTTAATTGCAGATAAGGCACTTGCTGATCCTGATGTTATAAATTTTGTTAAAAAAGTAAGAAACTTTGTCAAATGTTTTAGAACAAGTGTTGTAGCTTCAGATAAGCTGAAAAAGGCTTAATGTGAAAGTTCGCATAAGCTTTAAAGTTCATATTAGATGTAAAAATAAGGCAGAATTCGTGTTACTACATGCTAGAGAGATTTTTAAAATTAGCTTCATATGTCGCACAAATTACAATCAGTGATGCAAATGCTCCCGGTATTGTATTAGCGGCTGAAGTTGAAGTAGAGAATTATCTAATCTACTGCAGCCGTTGGAGTACATAAATAAATAATTATGCACTCAATACTATGTTACGGTGTCGAACGTTTTATCTTTAGTTGATTTATACCAAAATCGCGCCTTTGTGTCAAATTAAAACAAGCTTTAATTGACACTGCAAGCAGACGGTTTTCGAATCTAGAAAAAAAAATTAGCAATGGCTATAGCCACACTACTAGATTCACGCTTTTAAAATTTGCATTTTAAGAACACCAATGCTGCCTTAAATGCAATAAATGCATTGAAAAATCAAATTTGTTTGAACAGTTCTACTACAAGTTTAGATATTGATGTTACGCAATAGCAATGACATTGGGGCTATAGCAATAGCTATAGCCACATTACTAGATCCACGCTTTCAAAACTTGCATTTTAAGTACACCAACGCTGCCTTAAATGCAGTAAATGCATTGAAAAATCAAATTTGTTTCAACAATTCTTCTACAAGTTTATATATTGATGTCACGCAATACCAATGACATTGAGGCTATAGCAATGGCTATAGCCACATTACTAGATCCACGCTTTCAAAACTTGCATTTTATTTTAAGTACACCAATGCCGACTTAAATGCAATAAATGCATTGAAAAATCAAATTTGTTTGAACAGTTCTACTACAAGTTTAGATATTGATATCACGCCAGACAGTTTTGACTTTTGGCAGTTACATAAGAAAACAGCGCCAGACAAAAAAGAGTGACGAAATAGATTTATACTTAAACTAGTACAGACGTTGTTCTGTACCCATGCCTAAAAACTCCAATTTTTTCAATAACCTATACTGATATTTACCTTTTAGTTAAAAATAATCATTGTTTTTACACTACAATCTATACCGAAATGTATGTACAATAGTGTGAGTAAGTACAAAAATGGCCAGTCTCAATTTCTACACTTAAATTTCAATTATATAGTTAAAACATATATCAAACAGACAAATATCGAAATATAATCATTAACATTGTAGGTGTACCTTGATCTCCGTCGTCTTTCGAACTATTCAGATTGGGGAAATTTAATCCGCTAAGGACTAAGCCAAAGCCACTAAAAATTGTATTCAAAGACAATCTATGATAATCTAGAAAAAATTTGCTTAACTGCAGAAAAAGACTAGGCCAATTTCAAAAATCTCAATATCACCGGGACTGAAATGATGAAATGGTGAAATGGTGAGAAAAATCTTAAAATTAATAATATCAATGGCGACCACAGATTATAGCTTTAAACTAACTTTGCGTACAGATAGTAATGTCATTACATGTTATTATCAGGATGTTCGCGGACTAAATACTAAAACCTCTTATTGGAAATGCTCAATTCATATTTTGCTTGGTTTTTACAGGATTCTATAAATATCTAGACGAGAAATGTCTTCCTGATAAACATAGATTCCGTAATAGTAATAATAAAATTTATATATGTGTTTGATGGTTAGATTTTAAAAAACATTATTTTAGAACTTGATATGTCGATTCGCAGAAGTGATGTGAAGGCAGGGGCATACTATATTAGAATATTAATCTCATTTCAGGTAGATAAATACAAGTTGTTTAATAATTAATTCATTATTAATTTTAAATGATGTAATTGTGTATTTAAATCAGGTACTCTATCTATTTTCTAATGATTTATATATTTTTTATGCTTGTTTTTTTAGCTTCTTCAAGCATTATGGAATTTAATAAATTAGAGGTGTCTCCTTTATGCCAATTACAGAATCACGACAATAATCTGCAACAAGGCCAAGTAATTATAACTTTATATACTTTAATAATTAATACTTTTTGCAGAAAATTACTGATAAGTAAATCTTATCTTTGATGACATAAGGAACGTTGAGGCAGAATTCTGTGAGGGCAATAATGTTGATCTCTTGATTGTACAAAAGCAAAGTGAATAACTTACCCATCAATAATGAAGAAGTTTCATCGACTGACAGCATTTGTATTAACTGTATCATTGGGTGAAACAAAATAACAATACAAAAGAATAAAGTTAATAAATTATTAAAAATAATGGACAAATATTTTGATGAGAACTTACCGGAAGATGTCCAGACTTTGGTACGTATAATAGAAAATTGTGAGCCTGACATTGTGACAGGTCAAGATATTCATAATGGCACTCAAGCTACTACCTCTGCATGAGGATAGTTTTTGGAACATCAAGAAATCCAGTAAATCTACACTATATATCAAACAAAATACTACATGAGGCAATAAAAGTTCCGGAAATTATGGAATTAATAAATAAAATCTCAAAATTCTTTTTTTCAAAATGTTTAGTGAATAATAACACAACAATTAATGTGATAGGTTCTGTGACAAAAGATATGTTCTGGTATTCTAACTATGTTCTACCTAGTTTTATAAAAGATCTTTAGTGAAAATAAATATTACAGTTTTAGGTTTTCAAAAGTTTTCCACCACATTTATGTTTTTGTTAGTGTTGTATTGTCCTTAAATATATTGTTTGTGGTTTTTGTGATATTTTTGCCACATGATAAATATTATTTAGATTAAAGTAATAGTTAAGTGAATAGTTTAAATAATTGTTTTGTTATCTTCAAATGAAGATAGATGATATTCATGTTGAAAATTTATAGATTGTATATATTTTTTTTTATATTAAATGTAATAATAAATCTTAAAAAAAACTAACTACCTCTGCCCTTGAGGATAAGCTGCAATCGTTAGTGATTTCAGATGAAGACGAGCGAAACCAAGTCATTACATTTCCGTTAAAGAATATGAAACGAATAGATGAATTGGAAGAAAATTTAAAAGAGGAAAACTTCGCATCAGGCTTGATACATGAGCTGGCCCCTGAAAATCAGTATAATGATAAGGCCACAATTCGCGCCCTAATGCAAAAAATATTAATAAAAGACCAGGTAAATAAATTTACTGCAAAAGGGAAAAAAGAAAAACTAAATTTTTCGGTCCTACGACTATGCGATGTTGTAATCCAAGCTATCCAAATAAACTTCGGAAGATTAACAAAGTACAATATTCTGATGCATTTAGGTATCTTTTCAGTTAGAAGATGGGGGACAAAAAACATCAGCAAAGAGTTTTACAGTACCCCTAAGATTGTCAAGTGCGGGTTAAAACAGTGATCTATTTTGACACCAGTTTCCCGCCAAGCCATTTCTTTATAATAATTCCAGCAATAATAATTGATTTATCAATTATGATATTACAACTTCAATGATACTATGATTTTACAAACTTCTCTAATGTTATAAAAAGCAAATTCTTTAAAAAGTTTAAAATAATCCATTGTGAAATGCATTTGATATTTTTAATTACCGGAGATAATAAGACAAAAATATTATTAATGTTTATAAATGCAATAAATAATTTGTCGGAGATAAAAATGAATAAGAACTAGAGAAAGAGGTTCCAGAAACAGCCGTATGGTTATAGAAACCAAATGACAACGTAGCATGATGTAATAAAATAAAATTAATCAAAATAAAAATCCATTAATAATCTTGACAGCCGATCATGAATTTTCAATAAAAATTGACAAAGTGAAAACTAATTTTTAATTCTAAATTTGTCTAATTAAAACAAAGCATTGCGATGGCCCTAGCGGGTGTTGACGCAATGTGATTTCTGCCCAGTGCTCTGAATGTCAACGTGAAGAAATTCAAGCAAGCGCGGGTAAACGGCGGGAGTAGGGGAGCATTGGGCAGTCGGGAGGTTTGGGACCCCCTCATTTCTCCAAAACTGTCATAGATATTTTTTGTTTTCTACCACAGCACTATACTTTATTCACTAGCAACACCGCTTATCTAAAGTGTCAGCTGTCATTTCA